TCGTTGTACAGCAGAAACTAACACAACATTGTAAAGCAATTATACTCCAATAAAAAAAAAACTAAATTGACAGAAAAAAAATCATGGCTATTGTTTATTAAAATGAAAGGATACAAAGTGAAATAATCAGCAAAGGGAAAAGCATGCTGCACGAAGTGTGGAAGAAACCAGGTACAAATTTTCAAGAGTCCTCTCCTGATGGAATCACAAAGGATGGGCTTAATTCCTTCAGCAACTAGTTGTGATGACACATGTGAAGTGATGTCTACCAGGAAGCTCATTAGAGACTCAATGCTTAAGGTTTCTATTGGTTTGCTGATCACAAAGACATTCTCCGTCCAGCAGGCACCAAAATTCTAGACTCCCAGAAGGAAAGCAGGTGTTCAGCATAAACCACATTGTTTGTAAGACAGTGTAGGCATAGTGAGCCACTCTTACCTGTTAGGGAATGGTGGGAACATTTCTGAAATCCAAGTTCCCAGATGCCAGCCAAGAGCCAGCCTTGCAAGCAGGCCTGTCTAAGGATGGCAGTCCTAGCTTTGCTATGTTAACTGTTTTCTGCACAGTAGTTAAAAACACAAGTTTTATAATCAGATAACTCTGGGCTCATATCTGCATCCTAGCACGTATATTGATGTTGACCTTGAACAAGTTATCCACTTTGCACGTCTCAGTTTTATCAACTGTTAATAGCTTTAATTAGGCAATTAGTTAATTAGGCCATGAAAATCATACGCAATAATGCATGTAGAATTCTCTGCACGATTCCTACAAAGAGTAATAACTCGATAAATGTTGATGTTGATGAATAATAATAGTATATGTGGCAGTTATCTTCATGGAGCTTAGAACAGATTATATGAACAAGTCTCACACAAATGAAATAGACAGCAAGTGTTTCGTTTTGTTCATGTATGTGTTACTAACTGTAAGTGCAACAGGAGTTCTAAGAATGTAATTTATAAGAACCCACAAAAGCTTCCTTGACAGAATGAGTATTCTTTTGCTAAGTGTTATAGTGCCTCAACCATAAAAGACAGAAGTAGCTGACAGAAACAGTTTCCAGAAGACAAAGAAGTAGCTGAAAAATAGGGACAATATTTTGATCCTTACATTGCTTTCTGATGAAGCCATCCTTTACAACTTCACAGCTAGCATGAAAGTGGCCATTGTACATGACACTAAAGATTCTGAGATAGATTGGAAAGCTGCATCAGGAGAAATTAGTGGCTAGATCAGTCTGATTTAGACACAGTCTGATACTTTCGTGTATGTTTTTGGAAACAAGACATTACTATTCTTGCACACTTTTTTTAACTGCTTGACAAACAAACAGAACAAAGCATTTTGATGAGCAGTACTTTTGCTCTACCAAGATATGGGCTCAGATGTAACTCTCAGCAGGTGGAAGATTTTCTTTTTTTAAAAAATAATTTATTTTATTTATTTATTTTTGGCTGCATTGGGTCTTCCTTGCTGTGTGTGGGCTTTTCTCTAGTTGCGGTGAGCGGGGGCTACTCTTAGTTGTGGTGCGTGGACTTCTCATTGCAGTGGCTTCTCTTGTTGCGGAGCACAGGCTCTAGGCGTGTGGGCTTCAGTAGTTGTGGCATGAAGGCTCAGTAGTTGTGGCTCGCGGGCTCTAGAGTGCAGGCTCAGTAGTTGTGGCGCATGGGCTTAGTTGCTCCGTAGCATGTGGGATCTTCCCGGACCAGGGCTCAAACCCGTTTCCCCTGCATTGGCAGGCAGATTCTTAACCACTGAGCCACCAGGGAAGTCCCAGATTTTCTTTTTTGACATAACTAGTGATTAAGTACCATGATTACTGGAGAAACACATGCTGAGTAAAAACTTCCGGAATGACTGAATTAATAAATAAATGAATGAATGAGTTCAGAATATAATTAGGCCTAAGATTCCTCAACAAGGGACACCTGTGAGGCTAGTGCATGTTTAACAAAAATCATGTGTGATGAGAATTTATTTCCTTGAAACTTCATTTTTCTTGTTAATACAATAAACCGAGTTGCTTTTAAGGTTGGAGAGAGATGTCAGATGGTGTTGTGTTTTACATCTAATGTTAGATGTCTCCTCGGGCTAATATTAAGCATTTAGAGATTTTTTACAAAATAAGCTTATTTTATTCTGTATCATAATTTTAATTTTGCCTCCACAACTATTACAAAGTAGAAATAATTTATGACATTTTATAAGCATTTAATATTAAGGGGTATGGAGTGTTGATTATTTCCAAATAAATCACTTATGAAGTATATCTTTTTTGTGCTAGAAAAAGATTACACATAATTATGTAAACATATCCCTTACAGGATATCATTTAACTAAGATATATACTTTAAAATAAAGTTACTTGTTAAAATTAGAACTCTCATTGCATCTTGACTGATACCACTGTAGAATTTATCAAAGCTTGCTCAAAAGAAGTGCCAACACCTCTAAATGTTTTCTTTAGTGGCTACTTTTAATCAGTCACAGTAATGGGACATAGCTTTGACGTGGTTATCCCAATCTATAGCTATAATTATTTCCTATACATTGCAAATGAAGTTGTGATTCATAGACTATTTTCAAATTTAAATTTACACTATTTCGGCAAACACATTTATAGAATATAGTAATCAGTTTGTTAGTTATCCAGGCATCACGTAGAAAATGGAATATGTAATATCATATGTAATATCAGTGATACTGGGAAGAAATTGTTATTAGTCCAAGTATTGATAAATGCGTTTGAATTCATTCTGATAATCTAGTATTTATCAAAGCATCCATCACAGTTCTTAAAATAACTTGTTGATTATTTTTTCCTCTGGAAAATAATGCATTCAGGATTATAGTTGTGCTTTTATTATTTTATCCTTGGAGTCTGTCAACTGGCTTTACACCAGGAGCTCAAGAAATACTGCATTGAACTGATCTGAGCTGAATTGAACTGAATTGGTTAAGTAATTTTAAGACAAGGAATTGACACCTAAATTCAGTAATTAATCAAGCTAATCAATTGATTCTGACTCTCCCGCTCTCAGAAAGGCTATTTGAATTTAACTTCATGCTTTTAATTAAAATGTTTATTTCCTAAACCAATGTATATGTTATAATAAATAACTATATTTTATATATAATGATATATATTATGTATATATATAATTTCTTCAGATGAGTTTTACCATATTAGGGACAGAATTCTATTCTTTTCACATCACCTTGTACAATTTTCATTGATTTTTTTCCTCTAACCCTGCTGTTCTTATAGAGCTGTCTTATATATGGCCCTTTTTACGTTTATTTTGTTTGGTATTAAATGCAAAATGTGGTATTTTGGTTTTGAGTTCTTTTTCTAAAATTATGTGTTATTATCAATATCCTTTCAAAAGATATTGTGGAGTAATATTAAAGACTATTTGGCCACGAGTATTTATATTTATAGGTAAAGAATAAAAATATTAAGTATAGTTGTGTGAAAGAATAAGGTTGTATTGACAATTGAATCTCAATGTGTTTTAAATACCATCCATGTAGAAGCTCTCAAATGAAACGCAAATTTTTAAGTTTTAATATTAACTGAAAATTATTTAATTTTTTCTAGGCTAAAATTGGACTGAGAATACTGACCTAATGTAATTTTTTTCCTCAAAGCAGTGCCCCTAGTTTCAGATGAAATATAATTTTAAGTTAAGAAGGAAATGTCAAAGCAAACAATTCACACTCGGACAGGTCTTATAAAGTGGTATATGGACTTTCAAAGAATCTAAGATAGCCTCAATTGTTAAGTTGCACCACTATTTTATGAAGTACCACTAAAGAAAAAAATGCTGCATGTTAAAATAAGACACACCAACTCTTTCTTAATATTTAGATTTTTATTTTATAATTACCAAAAGAGCTTTTTTAGACATAGATTATTTTAATCATTTTAATCACTCCTGAATATTTATATGCGCACACACACACACACAAATATATCAGAAAATGTATGTTAAATACATTGCATAAGGCATTCCTAAAACTTCATCCTGTTTAGTATCTAGTTCTTCTAAATTACTTTTTGAGTCAGAGCGCTCGATGTTCATGTTTCCCACATTAAGATTTTTCCCTTTGCTGGTGAGGCAGCCTGTCTTAATAGAGAGAGCCACCATTTTCTCTGGCAGTTCTATCTAAACTGCTGCACCCATTCTGTAAATTTTGATGGTGGTACTTTCTTGACCTTACCAGAATGTATCAACAGAAGCTTTTTCAAACAACAATCAGGATTCATATTCATTTCCTTTTTCAAATGGTCCTTAAATGGTCTGACTGAAATATGAGGAATTTCCATTATCTAACCAAGCCACAGAAATAACAACCAAATTCAAGCATACCTAAGCCATGGTAGCAACATACTACCTATGACTGCCCTCTGATGGACAGGAATTGTTAAGAGACCATCAGTGTAAGACATCCTCATTTCTAATATAATGAGGTATGTAAACAGTTGGTGACTTAGAATAAAAAAAATATAGTATTAAAGAAAAGTCACAGTGGAGTATAATAAAAAAAAATTCAGCTGCAATTAAGGACATATATGTGTGTGTACAAACATACATTATTCTAGAAAATAAAATTCTAACAGACAAGTCATTTATATAATTCCTAATTTTTGTTAGATAAATTTACCTGCATTTATTAGGATATTTAGGCAGTTTAGCTATGTCCTGTTGAAAAACTTTTCCATCAAAAGTTGAATAATTATGGTCCTAACAAACTCTATGTTAAACAATTCTAATTTATTATTTTATGTGCTTGTATATATATGGGTAAAGATAACCAGTCAAATTGATTGGAAAGTATTAAAAAGTTTTCATGATATTCCACGTGACCTAATATTTTTCTTTAATCATTAAAATGTGCTTTCTCAAATTTCAAAATTAACAAATGTTACGAATAATAAATTAATAAATAATAACCCAGCAACTGAGTATTTCTTAATGTCCTCTCTACCTCAGGTCCCATAAGTAGTGTTTTGGTGAATAAATACGGTAGCCGGCCAGTGGTGATGGTAGGAGGTTTGTTATGCTGTTTGGGAATGGTCACAGCCTCTTTTAGTACCAGCGTAGTAGAGCTTTACATCACCATGGGATTCATTTGTGGTAAGTCAAGTTTTGTTTTCATCTTATTTTCTTCTTAACAGTCCCTGTTGTTTACAAAGCTCTGCCAGAAGCACGAGCAATAGAACATTCTTATTGTTTTCTCTGAATTTCTTTTTTATATCAGATGCTATCTTAAAGTAATGTCCTCTGGTACATCAAAATACTGGCTATAGGCTGGCCAATCAAATTTCAAGCAATGGAAACAGCAAGTTATCAGACATGTTATGATATAAATGTCAAAAAGAAAACCTCTTTGGTTTGTTTTTACTGTTTCAACATTTAATATTCAGCCAGTGAAGATGGTATTGTGGACACAGACTTCCTGGCATATAAACAGCTTCATTAAAAAAAATATTTTCACTACTTATTACTATTAGTGTCTGACTTATCACTCATACTAGGTTAAAAATGGTGCCAAAAAGATATTTCCTGGATTCACTGATTAGCTTTAACAATAGAATTGTTGTTGCCTGTGTTTTGATTAGTGGTAGAGCTCTGCATGGATATCCCTTCTTTTTCTTACTAAAGGATTCTGTTTAAAAGCTCTGAAAGGCACATTTGCCACTAAAGACAAATATTTTAAAATGACATCCTGTCACTTGATTATAGTTGCTTCTCATGCATGTCGGTAAACTCTAGCTGACCTGAATATGTACATTTGGAAAATACTATCTTTATTAGCCTCAGCAATAAATTGCATTACACAAATCTACACTCAGAATTTTAAGAAAAATTAGACTTCAACATATAAAGAAACTGAATCATTTCCTTTTGCCCACAGATAAAAAGGTAAATGTATTTCTCTTTTTATGACTTTAGATCAGTCTAACCTTGCATTAATGTATCATTTGATTAAAAAATTAGATGTATTAAAGCCTACAGTAATAGTGATGTTAAAATCTTTCTCTTTACAACCTATGGACAACTCTCTTCTTTTTTGATATGGTAAAACACCTTTGACATTTTAAAAAATATTTATTTATTTATTTGGCTGTGTCAGATCTTAGTTGCGGTATGCAGGATCTTTCATTGTGGTACACGGGCTCTTCATTATGGCGCGTGGGCTTCTCTCTAGTTGTGTCATGCGGGCTCTACAGCACACGGGCTCAGTAGTTGTGGCCTGCGGGCTTAGTTGCCCTGTGGCATGTGGGATCTTAGTTCCCCGACCAGGGATCGAACCCGCATCCCCTGCATTGGAAGGCGGATTCTTAACCACTGGATCACCAGGGAAGTCCCTCCTTTGACATTTTAAATGAGAATCTTCTTATACCTAAGGATTGTCATGGTGGAGTGAATGCCCTTTCCTTTGTGCAGAAATACTACATACAGGTGACCTTGAACAACAAGGGTTTGAACAGCAGGGGTCCACTGTACTACACGATCCATGGATCCATGTTTGGTTGAATCCTGAGGAGAGATGGCTATAAATGATACATAGATTTTTAGCTATGCAGAGAGTGGGCCCTCCTAAACCCCACATTGTTCAAGGGTCGGCCATATGTCATTTGGCCATAGAATTCAGGCTGGGCCCACAAGTAGATGTATTAGGGAAAAGATGGTTTTGATGTTACTGTGTCACAAATAACAATAGCATTTTATGTTATTCTAACTTCAGTTCCCTTCTTCTGGGCCTTAAAGGCTTTGGTGCTTCTAGTCAGCCATTAAATATACCTATAAGGGATTTATCTTAAGTCATTATCAGCCAAAACTTATTGGTATCTGAAATCAGACAGGTCTAGCTTTTAAAACCTGACTCAGCACACATGAGCCGTGTGATCATGGATAAATAAACCCCCTTATGCCTCAGTCTCTCTGTCTTTAAAATGGGAAAATAATACCTCTTTCCTTTGGGAGTTGTTGTCATGATTAATGTAAAAAATGAATATATGGTACTTTACAGAGAGTACCCAGCATTTTGTCACTTTTAAATAAATATTAGCATAATAATAATCACAACATCATTATATAACATCTTAAAGTTCTAAACCTTACTCGATTTTAGCAAAACCCTTTTTTGTTATTGACAGAATTGGAACTCAAGACTATTTACCCAGTAGTACACGTAGGTAAGTAGTCGAGGCAGATTTAGATCTTTTTTTT